GCTCCTCCGGTTTCCGGGTGGTGGCTTCGTGGCATTGGAGGGGGGCTGGCATGGATATGTCGCCCAGGGAAGTTTGGGGGGGGGGGGGGGAGGGGGGGCGGGTGGGGGAGCTGGGTGGCGGGTAGGGAGTTCATTTTTTCTGAAGAAGGGTCCTGACCTGAAACGTTGGCTTCCTGCTGCTCTGATGCTACCTGGCCTGCTGTGCTCCTCCAGCTCCACACTGTGTTATCTCTTAGGTGCAACAGAAGGGCTGTTTGCCATTAATAGGATGCTGCTGTTGAACCAAAAAGATTTGCTGCTTAATGCACGAATGAGTAATGAGCTTTATGAATTTCAGTGCTAGTTATGTCGTATCCCAGAGACTAGTGGCTCATATCAAAGAACGCATCCCTTTAACGATTTTTAACAAGCAAGGTATTGACAGATCCCACTAGCCTGTGTTTGCAAAACTCTCAATATTAGATGTGATTCTGAAATTGGACAGCAGTTGCTGGATGATGCTGTGTGTGCAAAGACATTTGCTGCACAGACTGTGACTTTGTCCAATTGTGTTCCGACGGACAGTCCAATTCTTCAGATTTTGTTTGTACTGGGGAGAAAGTAGCAAGGTGTTTTTAAAAAAGCAGTTCCTAATGACAGTTGCAGGAGGGTGTCATCTTGTTGGGCTAGTTAGAAGGATTAATAGATTCTTGGAATCAGAGTTTTGCACTGCAGGAAACCGTTCAGCCCATTGTACGTGTGTTCAATCTTTCAAAGATATATCCAACTCATTCCATATTCTTAACTCTGCTTCCTCTACCCAAATTGCAAAATATGGAGATTGAAGGCCTGACCTGAGACCAGTGGTGTGCTACACGGATTGTTGCTGAGTCTACTCCTTTTTGTCATTTATATAAATGATTTCGATGTAAATACAGGAGGAATGGTTAGTAAATTTACACATGACACCAAAATTGGTGGTGTAGTGGACAGTGAAGAAGGTTATCTCAGAATATAACAGGACCACGATCAGATGGGCTGATGGCCGAGGAGTGGCAGATGAAGTTTAATTTAGATAAATGTGAGGTGCTGCATTTTAGTGAAGCAAATCAGGGCAGGACTTAATGGTGGGATCGTGGGGACTGTTGCCGAACAAAGAGACCTTGGGATGCAGGTTCATAGTTCCTTGAAGGTGGAGTCACAGGTGCACAGAGTAATGAAGAAGGTATTTGGTACACTTGCCTACATGGGTCAATGCATTGAGTATAGGAGTTGAGATGTCATGTTGTGGCTGTACAGCACGTTGGTTAGGCCCCTTTTAGAATACTGCCTTCAATTCTGGTCTGCCTGCTGCAGAAAAGATGAGGTTCAGAAAAGGTTTACAAGGATATTGCCAATGTTGAAGGGTTTGAGCTACAGGGAGAAGCTGAATAGGTTGGGGATATTTTCCATTGAGTGTCAGAGGCTGACGCATGATCTTACAGAGGTTATAAAATCATGAAAGGCATAGATAGGGTGATTAGCTAAGGTCTTTTTCCCAGGGTAGGAGAGTCCAAAATTAGATGTCATAGGTGTAAGGTGAGAGGGGAAAGATTTAAAAGGGACCTCAGGGGCAACTTTTTCCGCACAGAGGGTGGTACGTGTATGGAATGAGCTGCCAGAGGAAGTCGTGGAGGCTAATACAAAGACAGCATTTAAAAGGCATCTGGATGTGTACATGAATAAGGAGGGTTTAGAGGAATATGAGCCAAATGCTGGCAAATGGGACTAGACTAATTTAGGATTCTGGTCTGTATGGATGAGTTGGACCGAAGGGTCTGTTTCTGTGCTGTATAATGCTATGTTACAATTTAAAACAAAATCCAGAGAATAGGTGGTTGTGATTGGCTGTTTGAGGGGTGGGGGTTGCATGTGGTAGAAGGCATATCAGTTTGATGCAGTGGTTGATTGGTGAGCTATTTTCTAGACAGCATGGGTATCGGGAAGCTGCTATTGGATCAGGTATTTTTGTGGAACTCGTAGTTTGGTATACATTTTGGGACAGGCAAGGTTATTTTGAGGAAGCACACTTTGGGGTTGTTTTCTGGGAGGAAGGATGTTTGGGTGTTCTTGAGTAAGTGAGAGGGTATTTTTGGGGAGTCAGTGAGATGTGTTACTGGGTGAAATCAGAGTAGCTGCCATGCTCCATCCCTGTAAATTTCCCATGGAGGCGGACGTCATCACCATGGTAATCCAGGCCCACGGTTTGGTGGGGGTGTTATCGAACAATGATTTACCTGTTTTCAAGCCAATTTTAGAGAGCTGCAGAGCTAATAGTGTGATTGAGCCACCTCACCCGACAGACCTTGGCAGGAATCTCGCGTTTTTTTAGCACATTTCTGACATACTTGTCATGCCTTATATGAGCTGAGCTGAAAGTCAGGGCATAGATACAGGCAGCACGGGTGAATGGACTATGATGAGGACCCAGCCTGACACCACATCACCCAGGCTGGTGAAGTAGTTGTGAGCAGACTGAATTCCAGCCACGCAGCAATAACTCATTGCATTTGGTGCTGCCGCACCGCCTGCCCATTTTGTACCCATATACTGGGGCTCAGTTCAACTCCTTTCTCATCTGGTTCCCTAGGGCTCAGTCCCATACTAGCTGAGGTACTTCTGTTCAGTGTCAGATGTGTAACACGGTTGAAGAAATGTGAATGGAGGCTGTAACACATGAATTAATGTTGTCTGATGTATCATCGTGTGAACTGGACAATTGTTCTAACATTTTTGAATCCTGGATTTCAAGTATCTGAGCCAGGGTGTGGAATGTGCCTGGCAATCATTGGATTTGAACTGATGGTCATAGATTTTACCAGCTCTCTCAGCTCAGAGAAAGGAAGCTGGGAGAGCTGGTGTTGAATTAACCACCAACCTGCCCAAACTTGTACATTTAGGGAAAACAGGACTTTAGTAACCCTAGATAGTAGGAACTGCAGATGCTGGAGAATCCGAGACAACA